CAGCGTGTACGCTTCGTATCAATACGAATAGTGGTGTATCGATGCGAGCACCTCGCAATAAAAAAAAAAGGCCACATAAGCGAGGAGACAGGAAAAATATTTTCATCCTGAAAAAAAAAAAAAAACGGAAAAACCTCGGCGTCACTTTTGATCTGCATCGAGGATTATTTTAAACGATTACCCGATCGAACCCGTGGCACGAAGATCGTTTGAGGAGCTGGAACATTGTCCGATTCGTTTAAACGGGTCCGTGATTTGCCGCTGCCGTTTGTCAGAAACAAGACATGTCCGTCGAGCCAATTCCTAGCTAAGCGAAACTGAAACGCGGCTGTTTCCGTTTCCTAACGGAAGGAATAAATTCGTCCGGCGTACAGACGCATCCACCGAGCTTCGAATCGGGGCCGTGGCGCCGCGCGCGGACGGGCGGGAGGAAGCGGGTATGAATGGGATCGGGGGCGACGTATCGGACGAAAATCCCGACAGTGTTAATTTTCCAGTGGACGGGTTTCCCCCAGGGCGGACACCGCCACCCCGTGCCTCGCAGCCTCTCGTGAGCCCTCGACGCTTGTCCCACGTCCCGGGACCCTCCAGCGCCGGCACAATTATTGTTGATTAAAGGCATTGTCGGTCGCCTCTCGTTGAAAGCGCGATGCGCAGACCCCCGATGAAAATTGCGTTTAGCGGTTTTCCAGTCTCCCTCCAACTGTCCCCTCTGCTTTCCCTCTCTCTCTCACTTTCTATCTCTCTCTACATTTTTTTAGACGCGATCTTTTGTTCAGGAATTTGAATTGCCAGCCCGGAAAGTCTCGAAAGACGGACGCAGGCGAGCCATGCTGTTTCATATTCACGCGCCAACGAATTCCGATCCTCGACGTCCTTTCTCTGCTTCGAAACGGGGAACGTTCGATAATCCTGTCTCACGCTGTGATTAATTCGAAACGATGCGAGGATATCTGTACCAGCGAACGATTCCAAGACCGTTTAGATCAACTATCGTTGGATGGAACAACAACGGTCCGAACCACCGTCCGATTCTAAACGACGCTGCTACCCGTTCCATTACTACAGTGTTTCTTTTTATTCATGCAACGGCTTTCAAGCGTCCCAGTTGAAATCCGACCGATTGTTTTTATTTCAAGTATCGCAGGCAAACAATTCGTCAGGCACTTAAAAAGGGGAGAAAAAAGCGGGCAGACCGGGAATCCCGCGTGAAAAATGAAAAAGACCGGAACGAGAGAGGCTCGGTTTACGCGGGGCGGCCGGGGGTGGTTTTGAAAGCTCTCGACAGGGGAGAGCGCGACCCGGGATTATCCACGATCGACCGAAACCGAGTTGATTGGCGTACCTACGGAAATATTTTATAAACGTAATTGACGAGCTTTCACGGATCTGTCCGACGTTATCCCGGCTTATCGTCACCATTCACTTTTTCTTTTTTACATTCACCGGAGTAGATACCGGACAAGCGGACGTCCACTGACCCAGTTCGACTCGTACCAAGCGAATCTTAACAGCGAATAGCCGAAACTTCGTTCTCGTCTCCCGTCGAGGCGACGATCAGACACACAGAATTTCAGAGCTACATGAAAATCGTATAGGACCACTTCGTACTCGTGGGGTGGGACGCAGTGGCTGGGCAACTTTTGTTTAAAACATTTTTCGCTACGCCGGGTATAACGGGTTCTTAAGAATAAACCGGTACTCGGGCCGGGTCGTGTACACGCGATTCTATCGATTTTATGTTCGCAGAATGGCGACGGGGGCGTCGACGTCGGCGTCGTTTTCATTCACCGGCAGCCCCTGGTTCCTGCGGTGTGCCTCGGAAAGTAAAAGTCGACGGCTGCGCGTTACGCGGCTACTCGCACGCTGAATGAAACCGAGCTATCGACGAGCTCTCTCTCGTATCCACGCGCGAGCGGGTGCCGATCCTCGACGTCCTTCCTTCACCCCGAATGGAAACGTTCGATAATCCTGTCTCACGCTGTGATTAATTCGAAACGACGCGAGAATACCTATCTGTAGCAGCGAACGATTCCGAGACCGTTTACCGACGCGGTGCGATAGAATCATCGACGGAAGTAGTAGAGATCAATTATTATTATCACGGGGCTTCGAGATTTGCGTGGCGAACGAAGAAAGGTTCTACGCGATTCTCTCGTGGCTGAAATAATTCTGCGAATCCGACCGATGCGAAAGAAATTTTGTATAAATTTCCGGAAGGAAGTTCCTGAGAAAATTGATGGTAACGTGGCCTCGGGTAAGATCGAAGCCTCCCGAGTACGCGTACCGTGTAAAGAGCAGCATCCCGAGCATCCGAGAGGCGGGCATTTCGAGCGGATCGGACGTTCCTCGCGCGTGTGCGCCCGAATACCTCGCGTTACTCTCGCCCGGAATGGAGTCGCATCACAATTTTCGGGAATATATCGATTGTTCCACGAGTTTTCTGTTAATTTTGACAAATGGGATTTTATCTTCGTTCATAGAAGAAGAGAGGGAGGAAGGGAAATAGGGTTGGCGATCCTTCATCGGAACGGGCGACAAGATAAATGGGATTACGGACAGTTACAAATGTCCTTTGCGTTTACGCGACGACGACGACGACGACGACGGTACATCTATTTTTCTTTTTAACCCAGCCACGATTCCCTCGTTATTTGTCCTCGGACGTAATTTACGACCCTCCGACTATTCACGTGCGAATCACGAATATTCTTCCACCTCTCTCACTTGCATCGTTGCGTTGTACTCCTTCAAGGATTCGCTACTGATCTTGTCAAACAGTTTATTCTGTCTATCGTGTTTGTATATATATATATATGTATTTCCGGTTCGGCCCCCTTCGTAAGCGAACGATTTTTCGGTCATGTTTCTATACCCGATCGATTCAGATGGAACAAGCTGATTGGTCATTCACACGTTTTTAACGAACATATTCACCCGGAAACTTTCTGAAATCGCAATCAGCCGCCATTATATCTCTCGACCAGGTAAAAACGATAAAAATCGGATTTCTAAAACAAAGTTTCAAGTGCTTACCGAGCGAAACTCGTTGGTTGATTCGAAAAAGAAAAAAAAGGGGCAGGAATATAGTGGCGCAGCCCGAGCACGAGGTAGAGAGACACGGCGCGGATGAGAGGGTGGAACGTGAGACGAGAGGCAAAGACCCGGGGAGAAGGTAATAGGGGTTTGTAACGAATGGAAACAGGTGTGAAACGTGGTAGCGAGAACTCGAGGCGAAGGACGAAGACGGATAGAAAAGGGTTCTTCGGGGTGGTTCGAGTCTTCCAGGCTTTCACGGTATAATCAAGATGTTTGTCGACGTCGTCGGCGGGGGATGGAAACGAGCGGGAAAGATGTCTCGGGTATGGAAATTCGGAATAAACACAATGAGACTGATCACCAAAATGCATGCCTGATACATTTTAATTCTTGGAATCCTGAGCATTTTCTGCAGAAGGAAGAACCGCAAGCTTTCCAATCCACTCGGACGGTGATGGTGGTGGTGGTGGTGCCTGAAAATTCCTTTCGCCTCGGAGATAATGCACTCTCACCGTTTTCTTCCCCCTGGCACTGTGGTTCTCCACCCTTTCGAGGAATTCGATATGAAATTCTTTTAAGTACGGCCACCCCTTCGTAGGATATTGCCCCGCATTCCTGCGGTACATAATGAGCTGTGAAATTCGGGGAAGGTCGACCATCCGAGCACCCCTTCGAGATCTCCTCCCCGTTTTTCGAGCCTTCGGTCTGAGACAATAGTGCCCTCGCTTATGAGAATTCAGATCGAATAATTCCGTCGCCCTCTTTCGCCCTACGATTCGATTAAAATGTGACACGTGGCAAAATTTTTGATTAGTCCAACATCTCTGATTATGCGTTCGATAGTCGCGCGAATACCCATGCAGAATATAATAGCCAGCCGACGATGGCGCGCGGGTAATGGAGTTTGGTAATTAACTAAGTAGATTAAACGTGGAGCTTACCTCTTTGACGCGCAATATTGCTAATAATAATATCATTAACTGCGAGCGTTGAATCACGATATTAACGGTGAAAGTAGTATTTTTATAATCCGATCTAACCGGAATTCACCCGGCTCGTTCCCCGTCGTTCCACCATTTCTCCCGGTTGCCTTATCTTCGCCCGAAGTCGAAATTCCTAGAAAAGAATTCGTCCCCGGAGATAAATTCGCGAGTTTACCGGCCCTCCCTTTGCCCTGCACCCTTCCCAGTTCCCTGGGAATCTCTTTAACGACCTGGCACCGTGCCACCTAGCTATCGTTCATCTACCGACTCTCGACTGTTAATGACAGCGATATTACTTGGGAAAGGAACTTGGGAAAGAAACCGGGAGGGGGGATCATCTTTGCGACATTTTTCTTCGGCCCGCGTCGACCTCTTAACGTGAGTAAATTTTCGAAACCTTATTGACCACCCAGTGAACGTTGTGAATTTTATTGATGCAGCGAGGCGTTGGGTCGAGGCCACGGGAGTTTGGATGGCAGGGTGGCCGGCACCTAATTCATTCCGTACGGAGGGAGAACGGATGCGGGTGTCGGTCTCGTTACGCTGCTACAGTCTCGGCCCGATTGTTTGTTATTGTTGCGACGTCATCTCGTTAACCGAGAACGACCCGTCGGCTCTCGTTAGCTGGTCATTTGTAACCGGGGCTAACCGCGGGAATTTCGGATTCCACCGCAACCCGGGATTCCTCGGCCGAATCGATTTTACCACCTTGCGACGAGCAATTAACAAAATGCGACCCTCCTCTTTCGTCTTGGAAAGGAATATTAAGATTGAGACGAGGTGTCTGGACAGACAGTTGCCTGGCAGACGACTCTCTGGAACTAGTTGAGACAAGAGAAACTAAGTTTCCCCTTATTCGATAAACTTCGAGTTCAGTCCGCGAGTCCACTCGATGCGAAAAAGAATCCGAGGAATTTTAATTCATTTGATTGATTAGAAGCGGAGGAAATTGACGGGTTCTGTTTTCATTCGTTTCAGACATGCTACGAGATGGAGAGGTACCTGAAGGACGAGCCGAAGCTGCAATCGTACAAGAAGCTGCCCACGGAGCTGGACACGGCACCTTGGAACCTCTTTAGGGCTCCTCCTATTTCGTGGACGGCCACGACGGGAGCCGCGAACGCGCAATTCGAGTCCCCGATCAAAATGGAGGTGCGTCGATGCCGAGATCCGGATCGGAACGTTTTACTTACGAAGGAAACCGATGTTTCTCCGTAGATGACGACGTCGTCGGAGGACAGGGAGACGATGATTTGTTCGATGGACGAGATGAAGTTCAGCCCGTCGGACGACCACGGTCACAACGGTCGCGACAGGGACTTGTTGGACCGGCATTTGGACTCGTTGTCCATGTCTTCGTCGAGTTCGGCGTGCTCTGCGCTGTCCTGGGACAGTTCGCCGTCCCAGCTATCCTGCAGGGCTTTCATACTCAAGAAGGAGCCCAGCGAGGACCTTGAAGAGGACGAGGAACACGAGGTAAGACCGACGACGAATCTATATCCAGAAAGACGAGATCATCTTTGCGTTGAAGCCTCGTTTGATCGTTGAATCTTTGGTTTACTCAAAGGAGATCGAGGAGGACGAGGACAGCGGGTGCGAGAGCGAGGGACAGATTCTTACGCCGCCCTCGAGTCCTGGCTCCGGTCAAGGCCATTCCAACTCCAGTCATTCGTCGACGGGCAGCTCGATGCTCGACGTGCAGAACCTGAATCTCCACGGCTCGGGCGGCAGGAGTGCCATCGTCAGGGTCACCGCCAGCAACGCGCAGAGTGTCGCAAGGTACGTTACATGTTTTACCGTCTGATTTTCTCTACGAGTTTTATTCATATGGTTTTTCTAAATTGTCGCCTGAATCGATTCGACAGACTGATCTCGGTGACGGCGAATGGATTCCCGGCGGTGTCGGGTGCGCAGCATTCAGGCACTGGTGCGTCCTCGAGTAGCGTGTCGAACAGGCATCACGCGAGGAGTCACGAGCACAGTCCACCGGACACCAAGCGCAGGATACACAAGTGCCAGTTCCCCGGATGCAAGAAGGTCTACACCAAAAGCTCGCATCTGAAAGCTCACCAGAGGACGCACACGGGTAAGTCGTAATTTATCTTAGAACGAAAACTAAATATTGACTCTAGCGAAAGATCTTTGAAATAAAAGTTGTAGGTCTGGTGTCAGCTACAAGAAAGGTTGAATGTATTTTCCTTCTAATTTCATTGATTAGCACCGATAAGAAAATTGAGGTGAAGGTCATTAAATCTCCGTGCTAGCGAAAAATGTTTCAGACAAAAGTTGTAGACCTCACGGAGATCTATAAAAAAGGCTTTATGCAGTTTTCTCGTATCTCTATTCTCGTATATCTCGTATATCTAAGCGAGTGTTAAAAAAAATCGCTCAAGTGCTGTTACGTGGTGGAAAACTTGCGGAAGTTGGATCTAAAATCTCACCCGGAACTTTAGTCACTTCTTCATTAATTTCTGATGAACTATTAGTCCTAACGAAGAATGCTGCGCAGGAAAGTTGTAGCTCTCCTGAATATCTACAACTTTTATTTGAAACACTTTTCTATACCATCAATAATTAAGAAGTAATTAGCCAAAAAGAAAATTGATGCGAAATGGGGACCCTTTCCATCTTCGTTCACTTTTATTAAAGTCAAGAACTCATGAACGAGTGGAGATAGAGGAAATTTGCGTAGGACATTTTGTATAGACGCCAAGACCTACATCTTCCGTCGCAAGCATTCTTCGTTAGAATGAGGAATCAGTTTTTGCAATAAACAATTTTATTATTAATTAAATTACTCTTCACCTATGGACTAGCGAAAAGTGGTTGAGATAAAAGTTAGGTTCATACAATTTTCTTCTTTCTCCAATGCTCGAGGAGTAATCGATAAGGGAACCATAAATAAAAGAAACGAGGTTCTGCCGTGTCACTGAAAGACTATTTAGAACAAAACTGTGTTACATTTTTCTAATTCACAGATATTTTAACAGAGCATAGTTGACGAAACGTGGAAACGGTTAACGAGAACAGTGAAACAATTTATTCTGCAACGAAGGTTGTATACTTTCGATCCGGCTTTCGCAGCCGGTTGCACGAGAGTAAAGTAGTTCCTCGACGAATGGAATTGGTAACGAGTCCGCAGGCCCCGTCGTGTTGACTCCGACAGGATTTTCGAAGGATTCGTCGTCGTCCGAGCCTCGCCAGTAATTAGATTCGAGATCAAAGTATACCTCCTCCGGTATTTCCATCTCTCCTCGTGAAACTTTTTACCTACCCACCCTCCGCTGTCTCGTCGACTTTTCCCTGTTCGATTTTAACGAGACATGTTCTTTTTTTTCTTCCTTCCTTCCTTCTTTCTTTCCTCCTTTCTTTCTTTTCTCTCCCTCGCTTCCTTCCATTTTAATAACGAGGATCGACGCGATGCATTCGAAATGAACCAAGGGATATACGGAGTAGTACCAGTTTGTTGTTAATATCTGCAAACGAGATACACGAAAATGATAGCAAGAAAATATAATAAAGATGAGGAGAGAGAGAGATCTGACAAGTTTTCGGTTAATCGAGAGGAATAACAAACTAGCCGTTGATAACAGGTTTAAGTATTGAACGGGCGGCGAGTTAGAAATTGATGCCGCGAGGGATTTGGACGGTTTAAGAGTTCCCGGGAAGTTGGACAGAGCTTAGACCAGTGTTCGAGATCAGTCTAAATTGTTTGCACTCCTTTGGCCGCGAAATACAGGACTTATAGCTGGGTTATGTATACTCTTTACCATATCAAATATCTCTCGTGTTCGTTGATCATCGAGCCTGGCAAAAGAGGTTTTAAACAGAAGTCGTAACTCAACGATAAACTGGTACTCCGTTTATTGATAATTCCGTGCGAGTATCGGTGATAGGTTTTGAATGGAACTGTAGGGACATCCTTTGGGTGAAGGATAAGGTCGTTCATCCCTGACCCAGGGTGGGAGGTACCCTCTTTCTCCGTCCGGAGACTCTCGTCTTAACGGCGAATCGGAATCGATCCGATTAGACGATTAACATAGTCAAAGCTTTACCCCCATCTCTTGATTCCGTTCTAACGAGTCGATAATGCGTTCGATCTAAACGGAAACTCTCGCGACGCGCCTCACGGTTTACCCAATTTCTTAATAAAAACATCTGAAACTCGTTGGACCGCGAACTCTTATCTCGTAAAACGAACGTTTAAGCGCGAAGAAAGTGGAACGTCGAAAAATGGAACGACGGTAAAGGGGATTGAAATATCGAGAACCGGTGAAACAATATCGTATAGATATGGAAACGGGAAATGGAAAACGATTAACCCGGGAAATCCGCGGTATCCGTCAACTGGATTGGGAAACCAATTACAAACGAGGGAAGAGGCCGTAATAGCCGTCGTCCTTCTCGCCGGGACAAACGTTACTCCGCGGCAGCGACGGCGGCGGCGACGACGATACGTGACGTCACTCGACCCGGTAGAAAAGGGGCGCCGGGTAGCGGGGAGATGGGTGAATTCATAACAGAGTCATAATTGCGGTACCCGCGGTATGCATAATCCCGTAGTTAGCAGTTCCGCTTAACGATCCCTCGCGCGGTACCTCGGGGATGAAGCCGTCTCACCCTTATTGCCCGCTCTCTCCCGCTCATTTCCCGAAAAGACTTCCGGTTCTTTTAGCAGAGCTCTGACTATTTTTACCGCGACACGGTGATGAAACGTATCATCCGTTTTCCTCTGAGGTCAAAAACGATTTCAGACAGGATTCCACTGTTGTAACGTTAATCGTTATTATTCGTATAAAATACACTGAGAATCGTCATATCGCGATCATAACGATTGTTACAAATTCCACGCGACTGTCCATAAATTCGCGTTTCCCGTCGGAAGGAGGATGAGGATGAGGGCGAGGGCGAGTCCTTCTCGTCGCGTGGAAGAACGATTTTTCCACGTCGCTCCCTAGGGAGGAGGAGAGCAGAAGAGAGTATTGCCACGATACGTCAGTCTGTCCGTGGCGTTCGCGTTCACGTCCGCGTCGTTCGTCGTCTTTGCATTTTATTAAGTCCGTCGTCGCCGACGATGTATAGATCCCCGCCCTCCCTCCCTGCGTCGTGTCGTGCCGTGGGAATAGCGACACGCCGAAATTTATGGCCCCGGACTTCTCTTCTCGGCAGATCCGAACACGTTTCGAGTGGAACGCCGCGCGCCGCCTGTAATACCGAAGACAGGATCCGACCGAGTCTCGCGTCACCCACGCCCCCCCCCCCTGTTCATTCTCTCACCCTGTCCCTCGGATTTCCACGGAAAACTAAAATTCCTTCGCGAAGCATCCTGAAAAATAAATCGTCGTTCGTTTAAACGGAACCACTCGAAGTGTCGCGCGATAAACGATGACACAGCTAACGATTTACCGTTGATTTACTTAAAAAATGCAGCGATGCTAATATGTATCTGCAAAGAGGTTTAGCAGTGTTCATTATGCGTCTGCCGCGGGTGTAACAGGTTAACACCTTTAAGCCGGCCTGTTTAATATCGCTTTATTACGCGCGGGTCCATTATGTGGCGATAAAGCTACGAGTAAATGCGCGTAAGCCTAGTAGGCTCTGACCAGCCAGCCAGCCAGCCAGTCCGGTTGACCGTTTCTACTTATCCCTAATTCCCGCTGATACCTGGAATTTCCCGTTTAAAAACTTTTAATCAAACCCGCCCCACATACTTTCATAAACGTTAACAACGAACCAGAGGTAGAAGAATGAAAAGAGGAAACATAACGCGCGTGTTAAAAAATTAATGTCGAACCTTGATTACCGTGGAATTTTGCTGCTTCCGCCGACGACGGGGGAGAACGGATTCTTCAGCTTCCGTTTTGTTTCTGTTTCAGGCGAGAAGCCGTACAAGTGCAGCTGGGAGGGTTGCGAGTGGCGGTTTGCCCGTTCAGACGAGCTGACCCGCCACTACCGCAAGCACACCGGGGCGAAGCCGTTCAAGTGCCGGCATTGCGACCGCTGTTTCTCCCGCAGCGACCACCTAGCCCTCCACATGAAGAGACACGTGTAACGCGCGCGGGTTCCAATCCAGAAAGAAAAGAAGAGAAACAGCTTTTGGTAGTCGAGGATCGGAGATCGACCGCCGATCCGAGGATCCACGGGAGACGGTTTGGCGACGCGGGACGATTCCTGTTTGGTTCGGTTCGAGGACGATCGGTGTCGCGAAATTGTCATGGTCTTGATTCATCCTGGAGTACCTCCGACCGATCTGAGTCGTGAATCGATGGCTCCGAGTCATCCTGGAACAGCTCCAAGCGATCTAAATCAACTTTCCGAGCTTCTACTGCATTCTGGAGGATCTCCAAACGATTTGGAACAAGAATTGGTGACAGTGACTCGGTCTGGAGGCTCTCCAAGCGATTTATACCGACCTGACTCGGCTTCGAAGATCTCCAAGTGATCTGAACGAGTCTTCTGGAGGTTCGACCAATTCTGGATGACCTCCGAGCGACCCAAACAAATTTTCCGAAGTTCCCATTCATCCCGAAGAACGTCGAAGCGATTTAACCGAACCTGTCGCATCTCCAAGTGACTCGAATCAACGTCCGGCGGTTCTTACCCGGTCCCAAGGATCTACGATCGGCTTACCAACCTTCTCGGAGACTCTCGGAGAGGATCTAACGAGAGTTCACCGACGTCCAGTTGCCGATTTCATCGGACGTCGATCCTCGACTCGGATCCAGCGGTCTTCTCAGCACGAACAAGTTCGAAATTGATTTCGGTCGAAGACATTTGGTGGTCCCACGGACTGAACGGAGGTTGAAGCGAGAGGATCCAGTGGCTATCAATCCCGTTCCCTCTTCTGAACGACTATGTAACCGTACGGTGAATATGAAATTCGTGAAATCGACGATCAGGCAAGAGGGTACCCTGTCATCACCGTTACTCGGTTTTATCCTCCAGGCAATGGCCGAGCAAACAACGAGAGAATTTTAGGTACGAACGTCGTCGTCGTCGTCGTCGTCGTCGTCGTCGGTAACTACCAATCACTGCCATTAAATTTGTAATAGTTAGAGAAACGTTGCCTCGAGGACGAGATCCACCGCTGCTACATCCAATTGTCTGCTTCCTGTGGGAGGTACGAATTTTCGGTTATCAGGGTCTCCCGCTGTTCTTGAAAACCTGAAGACAATAAAAGTCTGTCGGTGCCAAATTCTTTTTTCCTCCCTTAAAAATAACTGCGACTCGTCCGACCAAAAATTCGGTACCTTTCACAAAACTGGAAAAGAAGAAATGTTTCTCAAGGGATCTTCCGTGGCTCGTCTCTTTATTTCCTCGTAGTGGCAAGCAGTTTTTCTAAGAGCCGGAAGGTTTGTACTTTTGTACGATGCTTTAATCGGAAATTTTTCATGGGTGGAGGGTGGCCGGGCGGACCTGCTCAAACGTACAGAGAAACTATATTTTTTAATATATCCTCGTGTGTTACCTAAACAATGTTTATATAGAGAAACGTGTGAAGACATTCCAAAAAAAAAAAATGAAGTGAACTGATTTTTCATTAAGCTCGCTGCCACCCGTCCACCGGACCCCCGGGGTCAAAATCCACAAACGACTCTCAATTGTTTCAAATTATTTACGATCGTCTCTCGGATCGAAGGGGGTGGCAGACAATTTTTTTTTTGATCGTCGATTTCGAGAGAGAGCCATAAGAAAGTGAGCCATAAAAGAAGGGAAAGTGCGTCTGTTCGGGGAAAGACTAATTTACTCGAAGTTATTAATTTTTAAATGTTCAGTGGCCAAATAACTCAAGCGCACGTAGAAACACCGTACCTACCGACATTTAAGGTAAAGCCTGACTGACATAATTGAGTGGAATTAAAAAAAGAAAGAGAGAGAGTGTGTTTGTGTGTGTGTATGTGTGCGCGCGCGTGTGTGCGTGCGTGTGTGTGAGCACGATTTTAGTTTAGGGGAATACAAATCTATATATATATATATAATATATATATATATTATATAGTATATTTTTTGTTCTTTATAATTTTATTTTTATCGAACGCATGGATGTTGTTTATTATTAATTATTTTATTCTACCCTTCGATCATTAATCGTCTAGGGTTCAGAAACCAAAACGGGGGGTGCGTGTTCTTCGCTTTGCAATTTTATTTGTAATTTAAAGTAACGAAAGCTTATTTGTTAAATGCATTTCCGAAGAGTGTATATCAGTATTTTCTGTTAATTTGTAAAATCTCCGAGTTTTGTTATTGTATATTATATGAATAAAGTATGTGCGTGCGCGAGTGAAAGCCGAGAGAATTTGTGCAATTTCACGTGAAAGCGTTTTCATTATTTGTTACCATGTTTAAAAAACGAGAGAAATACGATTATTATTAAATAAAAAAAATATATATATATACATTGTATATGTATATACGTACATGTAGCTGCATTTACGATTAGGCTAGGATCGATGATATGGGAGGATGATGACGATGATGACGATGATGAATGGGAGGACCGTTTCAAATTTTTTGATAGCCATATACAATTTCGAGAGGTGTTTTCCAAAATTTACTAAGTTAGAGCTTTTCTTTACCCTTTATTCATTCTGTAAGACCAACGAGCAAGGGCTGGAATTAAGAGGAAGAATGAAAGTCATACCTAAGATTAATTTTGTGGGGTGGAATTGTTGACCGAATGTTAATTAACCCTCGGGACGTACCTGGGACAGGACTCACCCCCGATTCGGTGTACTGAGGGTTGAAAAACATATATTATTCATCGTACACTAAATTTTGATTCGAAACGAAAGTAGACAGACTGAATTTACGCACCTGGTCAACCATTCTACCTGCAAGAAAAAAAAACGAAAAAGCGTTAAAAGCGACTAAAAACTAGGTAAAAAAGTAGTTAGAACCGTAGGTAGGTAGCCCCGTTAGATAGATGGAAAAACGTTAGATAGGCAGAAGAAAAAAAAATTAGATCGATGAGCGACGTTCGGGGAGGAGGAGAAGAGATTATTATAAATAAAAAAAGAGGAAGTCTAAACGATAGATAGGTGGATATATTGCGGTAGATAGAGATACGAGTATCCAAGGAATCTTCCTGGGGTACCTAAGGGAATTATCCCTGTCTGGTGTGTTTCCCCCCCCCCATTTCTTTTCCTTTTTTCTCTTGTTAAAGTCAGTGGAACGACGAATGAGTCTGCAAGATTAACCAAAGTGTAGTTAGAAGGTTTCCATGTTTCTAGGATAATTAATTGATAATCGGAGAATTGAACAATTTTCAAGGGTCGAATAATGCACTTTCAGTTTTCTCCAGCCAAGGTTTTTAACAATGAGAATCGATGTTAGGGTAAAGTGACCTTCGGCATCACGAAAAGACTTGTAAAAAAAAAAACAAAAAAAAAAATGAAATAATCGTGCAACGAGTTCAACGAGACAAGGAACAAATATTAAATAAAATTAAGTAAACGAAATGACGAAACACGAGGGGCGCAAGTGTAATTAATCGTTGGGCGTCCGTCCTTTAATTTCATCTTCCATTAACGCTTATTTGTAAGAATAAATCTCGCTCGGAGAAATCTCACAAGATATGTAAGAGAACGCAGGGAAACGCACAAAGGTATGAAAACGGCCCCTGGGTCAGTGACCCGTGGGTAAAGATCGATCCCCGGGTCAAAAGTGGCCCGCGATCACCGAAGTACTATTTTCGACGTTTTTACGGTCCCGTTCGAGGCCTAACAATCGTTTCGTTTCCATTCCGAAAGCGAGGGAATCCTTCGTTTCGATTACAATTCAATTAAAAATATTCTAAATTATCGTTTCTTCGAAAATGATCCTCGCAGTATGATGAAAAGTACTCGCTATACTCATTATATATATCATGATAAACGAAAAAGGCAAAAAAAAGCAACAGATCACGTTTTAGGGTGTTAAGAATGAAAATAGTATTTCTAGCAATTTTATACAGGCATGCGACGTTTCTTCTTGTAAATAAAACGACATACGTACACCACCCCGGTCACTGGCACGGAAACACGGAAACAGAATGTTACGGTGTAACAAAATTATTCATAGACGGTAATTAATTAATTAATTAAATAAATAATCGAATAAACGCCTCGTCGACGGTCGATCGATTGGATTCGACCATCGAGCAAACGAACAATTGTTATTTTGTCAAAAGTCGTCTGGTTCGAATTTTATTTCATCTAGCATTTGCTCCATTCTATCGCGTCTGATTTATAACGCGGCTATACTACTGACATATACATATATACAGTCTACTTTCCATTTAAAACTCCGTTGGAAGTTGAATTAATTTTTTTCTACAATTTTCATACGTTTTTATAGAATTCTCGAGGGATGGCTTTTTTCCTGTGATAGGGTTGGGGCGAGACGCGACTAGAGAGCCGTGGAGAGCGGCACCGTGTTTCCTGTACAAACACAGGCTAGGGGGAAGCGATTAAGCCAGCCTTCGACTCGATACACGTTTTTCGAATTTCCGGATTGAGAGAATCGATACACGGAGCGCACGATTACAGCGGAGAGAACGCGTTGCGAAAAAGATAAAAATGAAACGAATGGAGCAATCGCTATAAAACGAAATTTCAAACGAAACTTGCAAGTATTTCGTTATTGAACAGTTTTATTTGCAATTGCATCTGCAACAGCAATTTTTATAGATCGCCAGATATTTCGTCGAATCGAATTTCTTAATTGGAATTGATCTTCAAGCACTTTGCCATCTTAATTGGAATTGCATGGGAATTAATAATAATAGAAAGCGGACACGGTCAGGCTCAATTATTATCGACCCGTACTACTTGCTAGGTGTCGCGATTCTACTTCTAAATTTTCATTTCTATTCAGTAAAAATGTTTTCTACCGCGTAAACATGCTTGGGACGACTTATTATCGACTCGTACTACTTGCTAGGTGTCCGCGCACGATTTGTATTGACTTAAGCCACGTCCCACGCCGTACGCCACTTACATTGACCCGCGCTACTTGTTACGTATTATTAAACGCCACAATTTAAACTCTCCGGCGCGAGCGTCCCGACGGGTCGCTCTCGCCAACGTTAAATTGGCTTTGCTTGTAAATAAATTGACGCTTTGTTAACTCATTCTAATTAATCAAAAAAAAAAATAAAAATGGTGTCGTGAATAAATAAATTTATCGCATAGGCTTACATCAACGAAGCTTCCAAGCTTTAGTCAAATTTGTTGATTTCTCTCTCTCCCCTCTTAGCAATTTTTATATTAATTAGGACGGTTCGACGCGCTTTCGCGTTCCAGCATCGAACGAATTAGTTAATTGATTAGCGAAATTCTGCGATTATTAAAAAAGGGAAGATGAGATTCTCTCGATTAACGAACATGAGAATTGTTTCGAAATCGTTTTTGTATTGCGACGAATTTGTTGCGTGCTGATTTATACAGGGTGTCCCGGGTTCAGCGACTCGGAACCGGATGAAATTCCAAGTAGCAAGTTCCTTTTCCCTCCGACCGCTATTGACAAAGTTATTATAAAATGTGGACCGCAGGTTCTCGTTAACAACTTCGTTGATAATGATCGAACTCTCGACTCGGAATTCCATCCTCTTTCACGGTCCCGCGCAGGAGGAGAGTCACGCCTCTCCGGGACACCCTGTCCCGCTTGTATATGATGCGTGCGTCTTTCATTTTTATTAATAATAAAATGGTTTTACACAGACACGAACATACGTTCACGTTATTTTTGATGGCATGACCGAGTGGATCGAAGACGATGATGATGATATTGAAATGAATATATATATAAATATATATATTTATTTTCTAAGATATATAAATAGATATAAAAACAATATCGTCTGTATGTATATTAATTAAATTATGATTAATGCACAAAATGTAATTATATGTACATGTAAACGTGAGAGATTGATTGATCAAACCATCTTGCTCGTGCGTGCGTGTGCGTGCAAGAAAGAGAGAGAGAGAGAGAGAGAGAGAGTGAGTAAGAGTGTGCGAGGAGAATTGAAAAGGAAAACACTTGTCCTTTTTTCTCGAGTGGTTTTCCCGGTTAAGAGAGTTGGGGGCTTATCCGCGGCCGCTGTAACCTCATCTTTTGATCGATCGAAGATAGCTTGTATTTCTGCTCAGTGCAAAAAACAAAAAAAAAATAAACGTACGTTCCTGTTAAACGAGAAGTTAAATATACCATTCGACATCCGCACGTTCCGAGCTTTCTTTTCTTCTACCATTCTAATCATTTTCAAGGATCATCCGACGAAGAGGGGAAGAATTATACATAGAAGGATGCTTTGATCAACCCGTCCGCATTGTTATCATTCGGATACATCCGGACGCTAATGGAATTCGAAGTCGGGTAAAATTGTGCACGCCTGCACTCCGGGGAACCCTATAATCGAGTTATACCACTGAAAATTGGACATAATCGATAATTTCGATTATCTAGCGACATTCTTTGAAACTGCGTCGGGAAAGTTTCGATTCTCGATGGAAGAAATAATTTTTCGAAGAAAATTTAGTGGACATCACGTAAGTATACAAGAAGACCGGGTCGGCGGCGGCGGCGGTGGTGGTTTTCGAAGGGTCACGTCCGCCGGTGGTAACTCGGGGAAAGCCTCGCGGGGGCTATCAAACTTTCGTAGACTTCGGCTTGATACAGTGGAACCGTTCACCCCTGGCGGTCGCAACTTCCACTCCTGATCAACCCCTATTGTGACTCGCATCGCAGCCCGCAAAACCGTCCCCAGCAAATTCTCTGTTTGCGGTCGCGACCCGTTAATACCGGACGTTCACGCCCCTTTGCGAAGCTGGAAGCTCGCTGGAATATTTATTTCGAACGTCAGCGCGTCCATCATTTTCAGTAGAAACGAATAAATAAAATGAGAGTCTCTCTCGAGTTGCACATTGAAGATCTATCGAGAAGATGATAAGATTTATAATTAGAGTTTATCTCATTGTTCGTTACGTAAGATAATATTTTGATTCTTTTTCAAGTAGTCTGCTCGAACCGTGATTACATTTGTATTAACCAAGGCCACGCTCGCTATCTATCTCGCCTATCTTAGAAAAATGATCTGTCGATCGACTAAAAAACAAATACATACACTTTCCGATTGACAGAAATTAACAAAATAAATAATTAATACAAGTAAATCGAACAACAATACCTCGTGAAAATCGATTAAACTGAACCCCGCTGCTTCCTTTCAAGGGAACGTTCAGAGGCACTTGACGAAATACGATTGCCTGTTTTTTCCCACACTGATTTATCGAAATCTTATCGTCCCGTTCTCTCAGGTGATTTTCATCCAATCAGAAGTACTCGGTATACTTCTATATAACTTCGGTAACTCCTATATAAGGCGGCAATTATCGATATAATCGAACACTGCGATCGAACTTAAGCCAAACACGGTAAGTCCCAATTCCGAGATCAGCCAATACCTACTATTTATTTCATTTCAATTGGCAATAAATAGAATTAATAATAATTATAGATGAAGCTTCCACTGATAGTCGCCGCGATTCTGGCTGGCCTGGTAGCAACCAGCCATGGCCATTTCCTGCCACCTTTTGGCGAAGGGCAGTTGTACGAAGACATTCAATACTTCATCGATATGATACCCATGGAAAAAGTCGTGTCGATCGTGTTACAATACGCGAGCGACGACACCGATTTCAAGGAGCTGATCGTATACTTCAAATCCGATGAGTTCAAGGAGACGTTGAAGGAAGTCGAGGCTATCGCCGAGTTCCGCAATTTTGCCGACTATTTAGAAAAGAGCGGGGTTCACATTTACACAGGTTTAAACAAACTAAACGAAGTCGTGGGTCTCCCACCGTTCCATTCGGCGTTGTTCGCGAACAAGATCACCGGAGGACTCAAAGGGCTGTTCGAGGACGTCAAGAGTCTGGTTAATTACGACAATTTCATTCACGGCTATGTGTACAAAATGAGGACCTCGGACGCTTTCCGCGAATTCGTTGCTCATCTGAAGTCCAACGAGAATCAGAAGTTCGTCAACGCTCTTTACTCGAGCCAGAAGTTCATTCATTTCAGGGCCATGCTCGTTCAGAAGGGTTTGGATATTGGTTTGGTCGAGGACGTCATTTTCACGGTTTTGGGCATTGACTTTCCGGTATTCGAAATGCCACCGCAAATGAAACCACCCGTCAAATGTGTCTGTTAACTGCCTGGAACGACTCAGTCCGACAAAATTTGTTCCCCTGTACCAATTGACCCTGTACGACTCTATGTTGAACAAACTGTAATTTTCTGTAATAAAACAAATTTCCTATGAATTTTCGAAGTTTTCCTGCCGCCTGAAGAAGCAATAAATTCCGAAGGAGTGGCGAAATCATGTTTCACCGGCACCCTCTCCTCGATACAAAAGCTCGGAGGTAGAAGGCGGAGCAATTTTCTCGAGAGCAAACAACGAGCCCTGCGACCTTCTCGCATGCATTAAACTTTGAAACCGGAAGCCAGCAGGAGGGCCTTCCTCCTTTCCTGCCAAATGAAATTTCAAAATCCTCTCCAACCCTCTTTATCTGAAAATTAAAATCCATCGGATCTCTTTAAAAAGATATCTTGTTATTCATGATAAAAATTGAATGCTAATCTGTTCGTGCAGCTGTTTGAAAGATGCGGATTAACGGTATCGGAAAGTTATCTTGATAATGAGATTCGATAGACCTTCGAGTTACCTTGGTACCATTCGTTATCATCGAAGGAGTGTCCCATCTTTATCTTAACGATAAATATCTGTCCCTGACTTTTGGCCGTAATGTACTTTCTCAATCTTAATCTGTTTTATCAAATTGACTGCTTGCATTAAACGGGAATCAAAGGAGCTTTCCTAAACATTTCGACGATTAGTTATATAAATGTATGCTACGAATAATTCCATCATGTATTTGTAAATAAAATTTCGATTAAAAATCACGCGAGAGCCTGGAAGAGATATGTCTAGCAGTGGCCAGGCATTGGAAAATGAAAATGAGTATAGGTAGGTAGGTAGCTAGCTGGAAAAATTGGAGCGTGATTCTTAATTAAAAGCTCTTGAGCATCCCGTGAAGCGAGACAGGCGGGTAGTAGCTTTCAAGGGGCCTTCGCAACCACTACCTACCAAGCTGAATGATTAACGGGTCAAATAGAGTAGGAATAACGAGTCACCGAGGCACCGTCGATCGTGAATCATTTCGTAGTCTCACCTTAGCTTTGCTAGATCACACGGTTTTCCAAAGGTTCGCCAACGGAAACGTGTACGAGCTCAGAATATTTCTGAGACGGTGTTTCACGGATATACAGCGGCATGAGAAAATAACTTCTCGAAAACCAATAAAAATATTTAAATGATTCTCGGATATTTTTTAGATTGATATCAAATCAGATGTATTTTGAATTATAAAAAATAAAATTCCGGTCTCTCTCAAGTTACATATATGTAAAACATTCAATCAGATTAAGCAGATAATAAAATTTGTAAGTCTCCTCCGATTGGTCTATTCCTTTGTTTGTTACGTAAAATATTATTTTTTTATTTATTAAGATATCTTAATCTTAATCGAGATTATCTCTATATCGAACCAAGGGCACGCAATCTCGCTCATCGGCTTGTTTGCATGTAAAATAATCTATAATGTGTCCGAGAATCACTTAAATACAATTTTGAGGATGAGATTATAAGATATCGATACGATTGGAATCTGTCGAAGTGCAATAAAAAATGAAGAATTGTAATTGGAATTTATCGAGGCGTTAATCTGGACTGGCCGGATTTTAGATACGCTGATCGAAGACTACGGAGAGTACTCGAGCCTGGGGGTTTATTTGCATGTATATGACATAATATTATCAATGGGTGATGTTATCTCGCTGTCCGTTTAGTATATAAATCGACGGTTGAGGTACGATTAGCATGCACTCCTCCGAGTTCAACCAACCGACCAACATGGTAAGCAATAGCAATATTCACAATTACAATTTTAATTGCCTTAAACTGAATTATTTTCTCAACAATTCTTATTGTTAGAAGCATTATACTTAAATGATTTTTAACTGTACCACGAACCTGGCACTGTTCTAAAAATGTTTGAAAATTTTATATCTCTCTCTCTCTCTCTGTGTCTCTCTCACACACCTCTGACAAAAAACCGATGTCCGAATCGTTCGTTTCTGCTCCTCAGATGAAGTTAGCATTCGCAGTTCTGGCCGTTCTGGCCCTGTCGGCTCCCAGCCAAGCCTGGACGGTACCCCGAACCGGAAACGGTGCGTTGGCCAAAGAAATCCAAGACTTCGTCGACATAATTCCGATAGACAAGATGGTATCCATAGTGATGCAGTACGCCGCCGAGGACGCTGAGTTTCAGAAGCTGGTGCAGTACCTCTTAGGTTCCGAATTCAAGGCCCTCATCACTGACGTAGAAGGCATGCCTGAGGTGTTGAACATCCTGAACTACATCCAAGGCGCCGGACTCGACATTTACATGATGGTCAACAAAGGCAACAAATTCCTGGGCCTGAAAGAGCTAACCCCGCCTGCCTATTTCGCTAACAACTTCGGTGTCGTGAGGATCTCCGGCGGTATCCGTGGATGCATCAACGATTTAAAGGCTCTGTTCCCCACGGAAGAGGTCGAGGCTTTATACAAACAGAAGATGGCCAGTTCTCCGGTTTTCCAGGACTTCATGAAGCACCTTAGCAGCCCGGAGTTCCAACAGATCGCCACGAAGGTCTGCGCCAATCCTCATTTCAAAGATCTGTTGGCCAACGCTAAGAAAGTCGGCATCGACGCTCAACAGGTCAAGATCGTCATCGAAGGAATCCTAGGTGTCAAACTTAATTGCTAAATACTCTCCGTTTTTCTTTTGTTATTTTAATTTGAGTTAATAAAAGCATTCAGTGTATCTCGGCAAATCGATCATTTCCCACAATATTAAATTGTATCTTTGTATCTTTTACGATTGTAGAATCTAAAATGTCGATGATAGACAGTTGAAAAACTTTGAGAAGCTAGAGAAATAATGGTATACATGGATCTGATTTCCTGATTCAGACCTCGAATGTGGGGATCGTCTGAATTTTCCTGGGGCGGGGGTGGAGTGGATGGTAATTCCTTGTTCGATACATGACGCAACATCGTCGTCGTCGTCGTCGTCGTCGTCGCACGACTCGTAATACCCAGGATAATCCGCAGTAGATGCAAAACCGATGCGAGACGCACGGAGCATAGCAAAAAATATTTTATCAAGCTGCCATAAAAGTTTGCTCGAAGAGATAGTCGTCGTAGATATTAACCGAAAAGTTAATCTTTCAAGAAACCATCGCCAACCCATCGAATTTATTCGACTTTATTATAAACGTGACGGATGTACACTCGTGAGCGATTCAGTGAGATGAGTGTACAGTTCGTTAAACAGTTCGATGGCGAAAGTGATTTCCAAGCCAGCTTCCTTAGCCCAAAAATAGTGATGATGCAAAACATCGTTCTCCTCCACAGCGTCGCAGAAGTCCCTAAAATCCCTCGACCTAAGTAGATGTATAAACCTCCTAAAGCTGCCGGAGTACTTCACCTTCTGCCTGAGGAGTTCGTGGAGCTCGTCCATGGGCACGGTTTCTAAAATCTTGTTGATCATCACGGTGAGTCCTCCATTGGCGATATTAGGATCGAACCTCTTGTATCGCGGCGAGGTCTTCCAAAACAATCTGATCTTCTCCTGCCAACCGTCCACGTCCAGCCCGTTCTCTCTCAAGAATCTCACCAATTTCTCAAATTCCTTCATCTTCTCGAACTCCTTCGCTATGAACCGTTTCTGGTCGTCGATGAAAGTGACCGTGTCTCCAATCTGCGCGTCGTACTTCATGTAATCCTCTATTATTCTCTTTGCCTCGTGCATCGGCACGAACGCCAGGATATCTTTCAGGTCTTCTTCCAAGGAACTATTGTCAACCAGCGGTGGCATGGTAGACAGGTCGTTGTCCAGGGATCGAACCTTCATTCTGTAGGCCACGAAACCGATGAAAACCACTGCCAAAACGCTGGCTAACATTACTTGGGGGTTCATCGTTTTTCTTTGGGAGAGGGAGGGAGGAAGGAGGGTAGAAGATTTCTGATCGATTGAGATTCTAAAGGTTTAGTTGATTTACTTATAGAGGTTGACGTTCCTATGATTCGAATTGGGACTTACTTGGGACGAGGCTAGATTGTTTTTAAATGGTAGATGCTATATACGTTGACGTCATTAGTCGACCATTTTAAGAATCATGTATCTTATCATTTTGGTGCTGGTGATGGGAGATTTCTTAAAGGGACAAGGAATTTGAAAGGGATAGCCATCGTCGTGAGACAGCCATTGTTTGCTTTGAAGTTGCCTTCGCGTTGCTCGGTTTGATCCAGGCTCACTGTAAATTTCAGCTTCCTAGCATTCACAGTTTAGGAAATATAAATGAGATGGCGAGATCAAAAGCTATTATATATGTATAGGCATTTAAACGATTCTGGAACGTGTTCCAAGTACACACACATATGCGTCACGAATTTTTTCAACCCTCTACCTTTTTTATTGTTCATAATCAAGTGAAATTGTTACAATTGCATATATGTATATTAAGTTATTGAAAGGTCGCATACAATTTAAGATACAGAGA